GAGAGAGAGAGAGAGAGAGAGAGAGAGAGAGAGAGAGAGAGAGAGAGAGAGAGAGAGAGAGGTTGGCATTGCTGTACTGAGAGGCTGGCTCCATGAGTTAAGCTATGTGACTTGTTGTGCGTAGACATGTTGGTGGAGAGGAGCCTGAGGTGGCCTGTGATGCGCAACCTCATGCCCCGCACAGCGTCTCGTACTGAGAGGGACGCTGATCAGAGTAATTGGGGCGTGGCCGAGGATTTTTGGGCAGGGGTTGAATCACCAGGACAAAAATGGGAATTCTGGCCTCAGTTCCGAGGTCGCTTCGGAACATATGGCAGACAGGGAAGGCCGCCAGAAAGGGAAAAACAAGAGGGTCCAGAGAGAATACGCGCTGGCGGGGCGGGCTATAAGCAAAACTTCGCTCTGCCGGTAGGTTTCGGAAGTGAACATTGAGTAAGGACATCCGACGGGGGCGGGGCCGGTAGTGCCCAGGTTCGAAAGCTCGAAGGAAGAGCTCCTGTGTTATGGGCAAGGTCTGGGAATCGAACTGAGCCTTCGTACCCCAGCACCAGCCTCCGCAAGGAACACGAGTTTGCTAATCGACACCAACGGCAATTAAGTTGAGACTTCCACGTGGTGTGGGCCGCCGACCATGGGAGCACCATCAGATCCATATAAGGCAAGATCAATGAGGGGGAAGAAACCCGATCGATTAGAACAAACCCACTCCCTCTTATATGGCAGGCCTTCGACGGATAATGTAGACGAACCTGGTCGACCCGCAACAGCGACCTCCGCACATCTGCATCGCAGTACACGCCGTCTTCGTCTGCGATTGGGAAGGACAGGATATCGCTATGGCGGATCGACATGAGGTTCGAGCACGGGCAATTACCTGCGCTCACGTTCAGCATAGCAGACCTCGACTCCATGCAAATTCCAAAGGCTCCTACCCCACTCACTCCCACTTATCAAAAGTGCAAGCTCAGGCACACGACAACGTCGAGTCAAATATCGTCACCGTAGCAAAAACAACGATGGTCAGGCGGCAGAGAGGTCGGGCGGGTCGATGGAACACCAACTCCCGACGTCCCTGGTTAACAGCTATCAACCTGAGTGAGCGGAGTGGCGCTTGCTGCACGAGAGGGGAGAGAGGGAAAAGGTTGACTATGATCTCCCAGCTATTCAAAAATCCCATTCAACGCTGGCACTCCATGTGCACAGCCACCAACCCAATCCGAACGTGAACCAACCATAGCCACAAGGCCCTCCCACTGGCCGCGTTCCCGTCCCCACCACCGCTCAGTGCCTCCGACTGCCTTACCCCAGGTCTACCGCTAATTCCACCCCACGCCGTCACTCCACCTGTTCCTTGGGCACGCCGAGCCTGTTCGGCACCGTGGTCTTTGCGCATAGCTTTGCACAGCATTGCAGCCGAGATCAAAGAGAGAGCTGGGAGGGGCCTACGTAAACTTATAGTGCGGAAGGCGGCGGGGCACCAGCGTGCCATGCGGGCAGCGAGGGGTGTAGATAAGCAGGACAGAAGAAAGAAAAAGGTTCCAGAAGGATCGGAGAAGGCATGGTGATAAAAAATTTCATTCAATTGGAGTGGTCGTTCAAGTTGCGCGCGTAGGTTCGCTTTCCCAGCATTGATCCGACCATCCCAAATAACGACCAATCAATCGCGCCGAAAAGCCAGGGGAGGATCAGACGAATGGTTGAAGGAAGACGAAGGGACATGGAGAGAGGAGCAATTAGCAAGAAGGGAAGGTGGCGGGCGCATGCAGAGCGGAAAGCCAGTTCGCGCGGCAAGCAAGAATTCGAAAATGGTCACGTGCGCTAGCACGAAGGAAATTTGAATGCCGACAACCGAAATTCATAGTTGTTTCTTGAATTCCCCTGCGCGGTCGCTAATCGTCCGCACGGGGACTACTTTGAACGAGGACAGGGGCAATTCTGAAAGATGCATAGATTTAGTCCCCAAAATTGAAAAATGGACCCTGTTTTCCCTGATCGGCTAAGATCCGTGCTTCGGGGCTTACTCGGGTTTTACTCCGAAGGGTACGTGAAGCCGTGAAGTACGATCCTGGCTTATCACAGGCCAGAGACTACTATTTGGCGCTGCCATACATTTGTCGCTGAGGTTAATTCTTCTTTTATATCCTCCTTCATCTCCCATTCCCCATCCTGTCTGTCTATGATCGTAGCGGGGATGTCTGTTCTATGTTTGGACCCCTCCCTGCTGTGAATGAGATTGAATTTCAGTCACATTGTCATTTGCTGCACCGTCACTTCAGTCCCCATCTGATTCAAATCTTCTAGTATGTCGCATTGTTTCTCATCCGCATGCTAATGATCTTTGGCATTTGCATTGCCACTTATTTGTCTCAGGCTTTTATCTCTTGGCCTGCCGTTTGTTTTTCACGGATCATTACTCATCAGAATTGGATGTATAGCCCCGGAGCATTGTTTGGAAGAGAGGGAATGTTACATTTTCTAGGCTTTCTATTGTCTACTGTCCAGTTAGGATGAGAGAGAGCAAGTGGAGATGCGTTATATCAACTTGTATGAGATAAATCATCGGCGTTGTCAGTTAGGTGGCTCTCTCTCTAGATTTGAAAGAGATGGTGGCACCAGTGCAATCAGACTCGCTTTCACTTCCACTTCGCATACATGCAAACAGATGGAGATTCACACTGGCGCAGGGCGCCCACTCAAAGCTTAGAGATATGGAAATCAAGAACACAGTTCAGATGCATGTTCACTTTAACAGGCTATGGCGCATCGGCGCCTGAACATCCTAATCTTCGTCACTGTGTCCAACCCCACTGTTCACACATGCTCACTCTGGATCACCCTGAATACCACCACACACACACACTGAGTCTAACTTCCTCCTACAGCGGCTATGGCCGCTCTACTTCTTCTGACTATGGTCGCATTCTCTCTCTACAGCCCACTTCGTCTTCGGGCAATCTGCAGACCACCTTCGCACAAGACGCTGTAGCAGCGCTTCCGCATGGCTTACGCAGCGAATGAATGAATGGCTGGGCGCTGCCTCTTGATTTATACTTCTGTAACTCGTTGGTCTGCCCCTTTCCCAGGCCCTTGGTGCACACAGTCCCACACGGTACTTGCTTGACTGGACTCTGACTGACTGGGACTGGTACCGCTGACTGCATGGGTTTGCACTGCCAACTCGATGCAGTCGCACTCCCGACGTAACGCAGTTACACTGCCAACTCAACGCAGTTGGGCTCACCACTTGCCCACTTGCCTCTGGCTAAACGTGAGGCAATTTCAAAAGGTCACTTCCGGACCTTCCGGAAGTCTGTGGGCTTGGCCTCTCGAATACGGTAGCAGCTACGACCTTGACCTTTCAGAACATCTACAGCTACGACCTCCACAGAGCTGTGACTCCTACTTGACAGACCTACAGATCGAACCCCTACCACTACACAGACCTACGACAGACAACAAACAACTACCAAACACACAGGTCACGGGTTCAAACACTCAGGGTTCGACTTGATACTGTACATGGGTAAGTAAGGTCTGGGAATCGAGCCCTGAGATCTGCATCTGCCTCTGCAAAGGTGAAAACCATTTCACCAGGTTTAGGTGGAAGGATTTTCGGCATCATTGGTCATTGGCTCTCGAGTGGGGTTGATAGATCAAGTAACAAGTGATGTCAGCTTACCTTCTCCATCTCTTTGTGATCTGGACAAAGACAGGTTCTATACAGGAGCGGGAGTCACCGGTCGGAGTGCAGCGGTGAGACCTGGCTGCTCTCAGGATGTGCTACTTCTTGCTCTGTATTTTGCCTGGGCACTGAGCACATGAGAAATGAAGTGGGGGCCACTGGGGGGCCCAACAACGTTTAGGAATCCATCAAAATAAAGCCTGGTACAGGGTTGCACCCCCCGACGGTCGGCGGCCCTTGACTGGTCGGCTGCTGACCCGCCGACCGATCGGCTGGTCGGCGCCTACCGGTCGGGGGTCCTCGGCACCCCGCAAAAAAAATAAAAAATAAATAAATAAATAAAATTTGGGGTCCAGAATCCCTAATAACACCACCACCACCCCCATAGCGGCCCCCAATACCCCCAATAC